AAACCCAGTGAGAAACCTCGGGGAGAACCACAGTGAGAGAGGAAGCCGCGCCCCACAGACGGACAGGCTGCAGCTCCAGGACTCAAGCTACAAAGAAGCTTATAGAAAGAATCAAATATTGGTGATTAAGGACGAAAATAACTGTTATTGTCAAGTGTAACTCTTGCATCAGATTGCAAAGAAAATTCAAACGTATTTCTGGACCATTCAGTGTTCTTTTCACTGTGTTATTCATTTGTATGTGTGATTAGGGGAAAACACAAGATTGATCCATATATGTCTTATAGTGTTTATCCTACACTATTACCGTTGCTTTGGACAGACAGCAGTCACGAAAAAAGTGTTTGCGGAAACTCCAATGATGGACACACCCCTCAATCCCACCCTGACAATTATTTTTCCAAACTGTAAATATGAGAAGAGACAATATGAGCCTTCCTGAGGTCCTCAAATAATTTTTCCCCCACTGGGCTTATTCCTTTCCTATGCAGAAGGATCTAGGACAGTAAGGATCCGTTACATTTGTGGACATTCATCAATAATCATGGACATTGGTCATCCCGTACCCTCTGGACCAATGGCTTCTATTTGTTTACAATTATTGCATTTTCTGTGTACAAACTGTTTCATTCTCTAATCTTTTGATGGCGAACATGAAAATAAATGGAATTGAATCAATAAATGGAGCAATCATTGAAGCTGTGAGTATCATGCCTCTATTGACTTTGTGCTTATACCAATCATTTGTTAGCTTCCAGAGAGAAAACCTTGGTTGCTTATATGGAAAGGATGTAGAAGTGAGACAGGAAAGGACCATTCCTAAAGAGTGACTTGAGCACTATTGTCTGAAATCACTGTGGCATTATGGGACTTTTCCTTTAGGGAGCAACACAACAATGGAAACCTGCAGAAGACCTGAATATGTGACATAGTGTTTGAATGACCTGAGACATGTTTCACAAGCATTAGTGTAGCATTGGATTTAATTGGGATTTCAGCTGGACATTAACCGCTACTCAGAGATAGCTACTGTTGGGATTTAAGTCTATACAAAAAAACATTAAATTGAATTGAACCAAGTTTTAGGAGGAATGATATTGTCAAAATAGATTTACCTGAGTGCTTCGATCATCATCTCAAAACAACAAAACAGAATGGTAAAACACATATATCCTATGAATAAACTCATCTATCATTGAATTGTTTTTGGTTAAATGGTACATCACAACATGAAAACCTGCAGCTTATATTCAGGTGTGGCCTATATGTGGACAGTATTTATTTCTAAAATTCAGCCGGTGCAGTTTATATGCTGTATTTGGACGAGTGAAAGAATAATACACTGTAGATATGTATAGATGTAGAGGTTCCTTCCCACTTCCTGATGGTTGCAGTGCTTATTCCTGCCTCATTAGATCATCAATGTCAACAACCTGTCTGTCCTGCCTGAGATATACACAATGACACTTGATGCAATCTTTATAAAATGTTCTTGGACAGATTGTTGCACCACCAGCAGTCATTATCAGTGTTTTAACTTCACAGCACAACATAAGATAAACACAGCCAAACACATATGAATCAGCAAAATAAACACATGATTTGGATCAGAACAGGGCATAGAGAGAAGAGGACACGGGTTGATTTTGTTTCTCTAAATCAATGCCTGAGTGTGGTGAGGATATGGTTACAGATAGGGGAAGTCTACGGTTATCTAGAGAGAACTTGGTTTCCTGTTGTGGTTTTGTACTCTACAGCATACAGTTCTCTGCAATCTTCCCTCTCCCCTGAATAATACTAATACACATGTTTGAGAAGTAAGTTAGTAACCTTTATTTATAGAGCGCTCCTCACAGAGATAGACTCACAAAAGAAAAAAACATTCCAACGAAAAGAGACGGGAGGTCACAAAAACGTGTTTTGGGAAACTCCAATAACGGAGCTCTAAAGGCTTTAAGTCAGGCAGGTCAAACTCAGGCCCGTGAGACAATTTTTAGTGGCCCCTGAGATGATTATGTAAAAAGTTATAGATATTATAGTATAGTTATAGTATTTATTTTTTTATATTTAACTATCAGTCATCAAATACATCTCTACTTGATATTTGGGGCCCAGTTCTGGTTGACTCCAAACCTATAGAAAACAATATACAAACTTGAGTTAAATACAGTAAATCAAATTAAGATTATTAAACACAAAAAACACACACGCTACAATCAGCTCTTTTGTTTTTAAATGTGGCCCCAACCAAAATGGGTTTGACACCTCTGCTTTAAGTCATAAATTACTTATTATGATTAGTGGGGGAGGGAGGGTAGGGGCTGAGCCTTCCATAACTTTTATCCAGCCACAGAGAAAGCCCCTAATTGTAAGGCAAGGCAAGTTTATTTGTATAACACAGTTTATAATAATAATAATAATACAATTTTCAAATCAATACAAGGCCTTAAAATGTTAAAATCATAAATGATCACAATACATAAAATACCAAGTAATAGTGCTAGTGTTATTATTAGAATGTATAGAGCGTTCTTCATAAATGACACATATTGACCACAATCTTTGCATTCACCCCAGTTTGCATGAAATCCTCTCTCATTCTTTACAATGTATTCTCTCACACTTAAACACATACATCATACAGAGAGAACCAGATTTTCTCAAGACAAAGTGTATCCAGGACTGTGATCAACATGGTGAGGTAGATCTTCTGTCCCTGCTCATGACAAGTTCTCCCTGATTTACCGTATCCTTTATCTATAAGTTGATAATGTTTTTTGACTCAACCATGATGTCATCTATCCTCCCTTTAACAGCAGCTGTGAGTAATGTCCTTATGGGAAGCAGAGCCCTCCTCTGTCTGGGTGTGTGTAGTAGTGAGCCCTGACTAAACCACAACACTACGGTTATTTTTGTCCCCTTCCATCACGCTGCTGCTATTCTTGACATTTCAGACACTTCTGCTTCACATGTGCTGACATATTACAGATAGCGCATATGCTAAACACTATTTACTTTAGAAAATTTCACAGTTCAATTCTCACAATTCAGTACAATACACATTTCCCACCTTCTTATGTGATACTGAAACTATGTGTTAATACATGTAAAGACGCTCTGCTATACAGCAGAGCGTATACAATACATGTTAGAGCCATATGAACATTCTCGGACTGTGAGGAGCAGGAACTGAACTCCTGCTGCTAAGGACTAAACATGGGAGGCAGCATTTCAGGTTTATGCAGCTCAAATCTGGAAGTCTTTCTGATAATGTGAGACAGCCTTCTACTCTGACAATGTGAAACAGCTCTGCCCACAACTGAAAGATTGTGTCATTACTCTTCTTAATGTGATTATTAATGATTTGAATGTCTTGTACGATTGTGTGTGTGTGAACTGTGCTATACAAATACACTTGCCTTGCCTGGCCTACATGTAAGAATCCCTTTTTGAGGTACTATCTTGCTAACAGATGAAACTGACAACAACAACAAAAAAACGCTGGTGAAGACATAACCCTTTGCCGGATAATGATAACGGCTAACAGCTTTGTATTTTCAATACTCAAAATTCATATTCTTACATGAGAATATGTTGTATCCTGCATTATTATATTATATTTTATAGACGTTTTACCATTCAAAACCAAGAGTGCTATCTTTTTCCCACTCTGTAATTCTTCCTCCTTCATATTATTCTGTGTAAAAGTCCAGCAACAACCTCAGATATGTCCTGATATATCCTCCTTCACCTGTCATGGTCATACTGGGATGGTCCATCAACATATGCCCATAGTACAGTGCACAGTGATGCTTCATTAACTTATAACAGAAGCCTTTTGTGACTGCAAAATGCACACAGGGCCTGGTCACAAACATCTCAACACAATTTGACTTGGGACAATTGGGAGTGTCCTAATTATTTCCACTGTGACTATTCGACTCTTAACATTTCTTTGTGCTGCCTGTCTTGTATGTAGTAATTGATGTATTGGCCTGACTATAGAGAGTATGGATCAAAACTATCTTTGTAGCTATAATCTGGCATATTTACATTTGGTGTATACTGATGTTCATTCTTGTACATTGCCCCCATCAAAATTAATATATATATATATATATATATATATATATATATATATATATATATATATATATATATTATTTATTCTTAAGGATAGCCCCTTCAGATGAATCATCTCTTTTTCAAGAGAGTCCTAAGTCTGCAAGACAAAACACACATTTTACAGTGCATGGACAAAAAAGAACACAAATCCAAACAAATAACATTCACATTAATGTACTAAATAAATTACTCAAATTTTATAATTTCCTAAACGTACAGCATACAGGTTCTGTACAACACACTGGTCAGAGGGAGTTCACAGAAGAGTGTGGCATTCAGCACCTACTATCTACACTTCGTAAAACTATGTGCATGTTCTCCTTGTCTTAGTGAAAGTCCAGAACACACCTAATCAATAACCACAATGTATAGCCCTTAGTACAGTATTTAAAGTGTAATAACGTCTGGAATACAATATTGTTATTGAAATACTCCAGTACTAAACACTATACACATAAGAAAACAGCACAGATACACTTCAGACAACACAAATGCGTGATGATTCATAACCATAAATCAATGATAGAAAAAGCCTCGTCATACCACACCGCGAAGAGTTAACTGCGTGCGCGCTCACAGTCGTGCCTCCAAAGTGCACGGGGGCGCGCAAAGGCAGACTCAGCGGGAGCGCGCACTGGCAGGCTCAGCGGGAGCGCGCACAGGCAGGCTCAGCGGGAGCGCGGAGCAGAGAGACACAGATCAGTGACGGCAGGTCGGGCTGTGCGCAAGGGCGGACCACACAAAGTCCTGGCGGTCAAACCGAGAGCCTGACTATCGGTCTATGAGGCTTTCCCTGTGGACTACCGGGACTGGAACTTTTACAACAAGAGCTCAGGGGTGGACTGTAGGATAACACAGGCTGTCCGCTGTTCACCATGTCGGGGAGCAGGGAGGAGGAGAGGAGGAAACTAGCCGACATCATCAACCACTGGAACGCGAACCGGCTCGACCTGTTCGAGATCAGCCGACCCACTGAGGTATGGCACCGGCTGGAGTCGCCAGGAGAGGCCGCGGACGGGCGGGCCCTCTCTGGAGGCTGTAGTACACATTGAAACTTCTCTAGTACGCATTGAAGTGGGGAATGTCGTGAGGCTGTTGTGGGCAGCGTGGTGGAGTTGGTTTACTCCGCGGCGAGTCCTCTGCGCTCAAAGAGGACGAATGCCAAACTCCATTGAAAAATCCCATCATTTGTTGGTGCGTAGTAGTGTACTCTCTGGAGCCGGGGTTTCACTTGCGAAGCTAATCAAACATATACCCTCCTAACAACATATACCAGCAATGTTATAACCAGATTGATCCCGCATAATATCATTATCTGTGCCAGATTACACGTCTCAGCAACCTCACTGCTAACCATAGAAGCTAACTACCGCCCACAACAGTAGTGAGGATAGTAAACTTGGTCGTAATGGCTTGTTTTGGTACATTTCATAATTCCCTGTTACAATGTATTAACGCTAGCTGGCCTGGTTGAGGACATCCACAGTGTTTTTCTGTGATTGCAAAAGTAAATGACTTCAGACGGTGTATTTTGTACTCGTTTTTGGTCAGAACTGTACGTCCTAGGGTTAGCTTGCTAGTTAGCCGCATCATTAGCTGAGGAGCGAGCTCTGCACCTGCCTCTCACAACAAACTACCTCTCATTACAGTATCCATTGTAAACTACATTTACGTTGCGATTATCGTAGTTGAATCCATATGTAATCACTGGAACCTTTCACACGGGGCTCTGATGGCAGCCTGACAGATCCACTACTAGTATCGGAGAGGTTGTTTGATACGTAGGGCAAATTGACAAAAGCTTAAAGTATTAACCACACATGCTTAGTCCCAGTCATTTGGGTTTCTACCTGGATTTAACGAATAAAAACCGTCTGTAGATGGTTTTATCCCATGATGTATGCACAACGTCACGTCTTGTCCTCCCAAACATACACAGATAGCGCGATGCTGCTTCTGCTGCTTGTTTGACCAGCAATAATCTGACCCCAAACACTAGTAACTAAATGACCCGAGTGCAGTCAGGTTGTGGTTGTTTACTAATGATCTGATCGGATAAGTAACTCCTTGTAGGATAGAGTCCTTGTGGCACAAACACCTTGTGATAGTGCGCGTAGTAACTCGACGCTTACACCGTATTTTACTACAGAGGAGTATTACATGTGGCATTTCTCATTACATGTTTGGAAGTGTGTCATGTTTGTTTTTAATTATTAATTCAAATAATTTAATTTGTTTCTGTCAGTTGATAAGTTTGCTCAAAATACACTGAGAAAACTTTATTGTGGCAGTATTATGGAAAAAAAATACTATTGCACTGTATCAAAGACTGAACTGCTTATCAGGTATAAATGTGTAATCTGTGTGTTAAGTCATGAACCACTAGGGCATATAAGTGTATATGTTGATGTTCTTTTTCCTCACAAAGTAAAGTTCAAGCCATTTTTAAATGATCTGACAACAAGATGGCCATGCCTCAATCCAATTTGAATAACAAACACTCCAAAGCCCATTGAAGTTAACTGTGTTTTTCCATAAGTAGTTCTACATTATGGCGGGCTATATTGCTCACCCCCTCCAACCATCTTCAAACTCGGGGTCAGGGGGGGGCACAACAGGGACCCCTCTCGTCTTGAGCCGATTAATTCTTCAGGATTGGAGCTAGCCGTTGGCCTACAATGTTTTTTTTCTGCAAGGAATGATTAACACGATGCTCTACTCTGCACTTACCCACGTTGTCTCTCTCCCACGACAAGAGGAGTTGCTCCAGCATTGTGGACAGACTGTGGTTGAATGTATGCATGTTGTGACACACCCAGAACCTATGTCGGCTGGCCTCTGTGCACAAGTGCCCTTCATACTGTCTAGACCAGGGTTGCAGAATACATATTGCACATTTGTCAACAGCGCATCATCATTCATTCCTCGTACATGCCTGGAATGATGTAGAGGTTTAACATTTCTGTACTCAACCCTAGACTCTCAGTTAACTCTAAGTTTAGCTGTTTTTCACAAGTTAACCCAACTTTGAAACGAAAAGTATATTATAGTCATTATATCTTCTTGATGACTGTGACTGGTGCAAGTTTACTGTGTCAAAGACACCACTGATTGTAAATGAACATATGTTAATACTGTATACCTTAGTGTTTAGATTATGTCACTCTTTCTACATATTTGTCTCCTACCTAAACCACTCCAAACCTCACTATTCCAGCAGGTGGAGTGCCCTTTTGCCCTTTGTAAACAAAGTATATTATGTTTTTGGCCATACATATCTCACTACACACAGACTCATTTGTCCGAAAGCAGTTTTACAACAACATTAGTCTATAGATGTAAAAAGATTCTCATTCTGTTTGAACAGAATCTCAGAGGATCAATAAAACTTTAATTAATTATGCTGTAATTCCGTTTTGCATCTTCATTTACTGAACAGTGAGATCCTTTGAGTAATTAGATTAAACACGGATGACTGATTTGTCTGGAGCACAGTTTCTCAAACTTTTTAATCTCACAAACCAAACTGCTCAAATCCCTTTGTAAGAGGGGGTGTGTACTGGTGTCATGTGGGGACTCAGTGGGTGGGGAAAAATTTGATTCTAATTCAGTAACTTTGTTTAAGGTATGAAGAACTTTGTCTGAAACCTTTTATGTTTTCATTAAAAAAAGAAAAAAAAGAAATTTTGCAAACGACTAGAGTTTATTATATGAATCAATTAGCACCAGCAGCAGTAGTTCAGCTCGATATGAAACGGCTTGACTTGACTGCAGACGTGATAAGGTTAAGGCTGTTTCTTGATGTAGATTTGTTGCATTTTTCTGCTGATACTGTCAAAGTGGTGGATGTGCTACTATTAAACAGTGAACGATATGACGGCAACATTGTTAGTGCTGCTTGACCTGGTGGATGTCTTTGTGTGATCGGAATTGGAATTATTTTATTGCCATTGTAAGTAACAAGAAGTCACAATTTGTTTTGGCTCAAGTTGTAAGAGTAAAAATAGAGAAGGCATGCATAGAAAAAATCTAATAAAATGAATGTGAACACACCCATAGTAGTAAAGTGTCAATGAAATTAACTGGACTCTAAAAGGTTTTAACTCAAACTAAAATTACTATCATAGATACAAGATTTCAAACTCAGACATATCAATATTTGTATGTATTGTTTTTTGCTTTAAAAAAAATAACCCTTTAAAAATTCCGTCAATTCTTTTCTAAAAATTGAACTTGAGAAAAAAAAAGTATCTATTCATGAAATGTGGACATCTGAAAATGTATAACAAACTTCCGCAGCTCATTCCATCAAAGAATCACGTCCGTTACACAAATAAAGAGAGCCACTAAAGAAAATGACTATTATGACTATCCCCACTGACCAGAGCCTCGGTCAGTGGGGACTGTCTGGTTCCTAAGTTCAGAACATTGTTGGGACAGTCCAGCTTTTCCTTCAATGGAGCCAAACTGTGGAACGCTCTTCCCACTGACCTAAAACTGCAAACAGACTTAAACATCTTCATCAGACGTCTGAAACTGTGGCTGAAATCAGAACAACGTTGTTCACATGATTAATAAACTGTATATTTAATCACTTTTATATTTGTAAATTTTAAATGTGTGAATTTGTGTCCTAAAAGCCTTCTATGGACAAGTGTTGAAAATTAGCATGGTCTTGCTATAACACTAAAGGCAGTGCATCTGGTCTGTCCAATGTAACTGTTGTGTCCATATCAAATAAATAAAAAATATAAAACCCTTATCTTCAAGCAACTACTAATGGACAGAAGAGGTATTTGGATAAATCCATCCATCCATTTTCTACCCTTTAATCCATTTCTGGGTCAGGGGGGTGGCAATCAGAGATGCCACCCAAGTCTCATAGCACCAGCCCCTCACTGACCCTCTGCAGGTGGTGAGTCCACAGGAGGACGGCTGCTCTCTGAGTGTGAGCATAGCCTTGATCTTTCAGTGGGGGCTTTGGGCAAAGTGGGGTTAAGTGTCTTGCCCAAGGACACAACAACAGCAGTCATCAGTGGGAGTCGGTGGAGAAGGTGTAGAGGTGGGAAAGGAACCCACGACCTTCAGGCCTGAAGGCCAATGCTCTACCAACTGAGCTACTGTCGCCCTCGTATTTGGATAAATGATTATTAAAGGAATAGTTCACCGTTTGTACATACTGACATATGTTCTTACCTTACCTTAGACTAGTTAATACGTACCTGTCTGGTCCTAGTCCGTGCGCTCTGTCATGCAAACGGAGCAAAAACGGGAGCACAACCGCAGCCTCCTCTGGTCACTGTATAGTACCCAAAAGGTAGCTCCCGCTAGAAGCTACCAAACTCTTCCAAGTGTTCCCTATTAAATGTATATAGTTACGTGACGTGTTACACTGCAAAGTATAGTAACACAGAAATGTAACAGTCGATTTTCTCAGCGGATAAAACGGGTACTATATTGTGAGGCGTAGTAATCTGAGGTGCGCTACGTCCGCGCACTAACTTCTCTCCGGAGACTTCTCTCTCGCTCACTTCCGTCAATAGAAGCAGCGTGACTTGTAATACACACAGTAGCAGCGAGAGAGAAGTCTCTGGAGAGAAGTTAGTGCGCGGACGTAGCGCTCCTAACTTCTCTGCGCACTAACTTCTCTCCAGAGACTTCTCTCTCGCTGCTACTGTGTGCACTACAAGTCACGCTGCTTCTATTGACGGAAGTGAGCGAGAGAGAAGTCTCCGGAGAGAAGTTAGTGCGCGGACGTAGCGCACCTCAGATTACTACGCCTCACAATATAGTACCCGTTTTATCCGCTGAGAAAATCGACTGTTACATTTCTGTGTTACTATACTTTGCAGTGTAACACGTCACGTAATTATATACATTTAATAGGGAACACTTGGAAGAGTTTGGTAGCTTCTAGCGGGAGCTACCTTTTGGGTACTATACAGTGACCAGAGGAGGCTGCATTTGTGCTCCCGTT